CATCAGCATGGGGTGGCGCCATTTCCAATCCTTTATTAAGGCAAATACGGCTCATTCTTAATGTAGTGATTGTGGTCTCACCTACGCTCCCGATGTCATGCATGTCATCAACTTCTAAACGTGCTAAAAATGGACATCACTGATGGGGATGGTGGGGTGGAGGGGCAAGGGAGGACCATGAAGGGGACAGGAGGGTAGGAGAATAGTCTTTGCAGCGCAAGTCTCTTACGAAGCTCGTTTTTAAAAGTACACATACAGGTTTTTTGCGTAGCATAGGATCGCATATTCTTCCTGCGCCAGATGAACCCACACTCCACCCCTCATTCCCACTTACCGGCATTACAAGAACGCACAAAATGTGGCATTCAAAGAGCCATCAACCACCTCCTCACATCAACGCCCATGATTGGCCTCCATTGAGATATTGACTTTCTCGATTGCTGACAGCTCAACTCCTCAAAGTGGCCCCACCCCAGAGGCGGATGATCTGCTTTCAGCTAAAACACACGTGTACAAATGCTGCGATCTCCAAAATACCTGCACATTCACTAAACGACCGTTAAGCCAAGGACATTCATCTGCTTGTCCAGTTGCAGTGAAACGCAGTGGAAAGTCGAGTGAAGTGGATGCGGTCCTCAGGCGGATGGAACAAAAGCGTGAACACTTAAAGCAGAGTGATAGGCAGCTCGAGCGCATTCAACTCAATTAATGCAATCAGGATAAAAGCTTTTTCTCCCTCACGCGAGTAAAGAGGTGTGCATGCCTCACCACATTTCGCCTCGGAAGTGGTGAGTGAGCAGATCGGATGTAATATCAAAAGTGGTTTCCTCTCATCTACATAACTTAGGAGGTTACGATGTAGGGATGGTTTCCATAGGATATTCAAAAGGGAGTAAACGGATTGCAAGGACATGTCAGCAGCATCGTAAATTGTAGAAAGGGAAAACGGGACGAGTTGGTCAAATGGTTCGGAAATGCCGACAGAGGAATGAGGAATGATGAGCAGACAATCTTTCTAACGATGGAACAAACGCGGCTGTTTTGGAGGGCCATAATTAC